CGGGTTTGGTAGACAGTTTTCACAGAACCATTTATTGCACCGGTGGCACCAACAGTTGGTGAGGCAGTCTGTGCAGCGGGCAATGAGAACCGGATGCTCTCCTGGAATTAGCTCGGGCCGTTTCGCCATGGCAACGCTAGATGAATGCAATGGCGGGGGGCCAAGCAATGGAAATTGAATATCTGGGGACTGGCTCCAAATAGACGGACCTTCGGGGGAACTGTGGCATCCGTCACACCCACGGGGTCCGAGGGCTACGGTGGCCACGGCGGGTCCGAGCAATGGAACCGCAGCTGGGGTGCCCGCCTCCGTGGTCGAACTGTATAGATTGAGATCGTGTCTCGGGCCACGACAAAGAGCAGCATCAAAGGCAATGATGCCCTCACATTTTTTAAGTACTTGGGCCCAGCCTTCCTCAGGAGTGTGCTTGAATAGCTTCCCCGATGCGCTATACCACTCGTGTTGCTGCTCTATCGAGGATTCTGCGGAGACCTCATCCTCCTGATCGGAGTTAGATGGGATTTGGCTGGATGTCCGCAAAGTTCCCACACGGGTTCCCCACGAGTTACGGTATCGGGGTCGTGTCACTGCCCGAGGTCCCGTATGCATGGGAGAAAAATGGTAGATTCCCTTCACTCGTGGCATACCGGCAGGACGTGTAGGCCGAACGGCATGCTGAAGGACCTGCATGAGCTTGCGTTCGTTGAGATGGCGACATTCGCGGATAGACAGGATGTTGACGTTAAAGCGATCCGTCAGAATGATATCGGCCACCAGGTCAGCCGGCACTGACACCCCGTCCAAGATGAGAGTGCGCACATCTTGCAGTATACCTCTGCGCTCAAGGCTCGTAAAGATATTCTTCACTGGAGCGGAGTAGATCTCGTCCTCCGTCTGAGAGTCGTTCTCCGCTTGTGTTACTGTAGAGAGTTCTGCGCCCCGACAGTGGGACAGATCGAGATGCCGGAATACATATGGTGTCTGAGTGATCATGGTGTGTAGGCGGCGCGAAGTTGAGCACAGCGTCATCAACGAGGACACTGATAGATATGGTGCCATGTGGTCGAGGATTAAGCTATTGCTCAGGACATCCTCTAGTCCTGTTCGATGAGGCGGTGCGGGTGTTATACATTGCACCCTTGGTACCACTCGTTCGGTGGGTAGTTCGCGTACGACGGGCTCCAGGCCGAGTTCCTTCAGCGTCAAGCGGCGAGATCCGTAAAAATCGGGGGCGCGGCCGATGAGATCCCGTCTGTAGGCAGTCATGGCGCCTACCGCGACTTCATCACTCCGGAATCCAAAGGGTGAAGCATTGGGTTGGATATCCCGGAGGGCAGCGCGGGCTTTGACCAGCTCACTTTCCAGCAAATTGATTGTTGACTGTAAGACGGCAGGCATGGCTTCCGTTCTCTTAGGGTCAATGGCAAAGGCTATAGAATACCACAGATCGGACATAGTCCGGTTGAATTATAGTGCTAGGCGAATGGAAATTTCAAAGTCAAGCTTAGGAAAGTATAGAAAAGGTGGGGAAGAAGGGGGGAATGGAAATAGTTTAAATGAACCGGGGATTCGGATAAATACAATCGTGGAGTTGTCTGATCATTCCTGAGTCAAATATTGAAAAAGGGAAAAGAAATACCGAAAAACCAAAGAAATACCAAGTACAAAGTACATAAGAGTACGGAGAAGTATAGAGCCAATGGAGTTGTGGAGATGTGGAGACGTGGAGAGGAGGAAGATTGCTTTTTTTGGAAATATTAATATATAATTGACCTATCTTAGTTAGTGGACTAACCAGTTCTGGTTAGTTGCAAGATTTATATTCTAATTCAATTGAGTAAAGAGATAACGCCCGAACCAAACCGTAAACGGACTCTCGGTCAATGACTTTGTCAGAACCAAATTCAGAAATACAGAGTTATTCATGTATATAAAACATCCAAGGGTACAATCTCACTCCAGGATTCTCTCTATTCAGACTATTCTAACCTACAATCATGTCTTGGCTGCGCAAGGGCGGGTTCACAAGAAGTAGTCCTGGATACTTCATCAAAGTATGGGGTGAACCTAAGTGGATCCGGTATCTAGGACAAGGGGGGTTACCTCAGCAGTCCAACCTTCCCAGGTTGGAAAATACCTTGGCGCTAGCCCAGGCGTTGATCCGCCGGTTGGTCACGCGCAATTCCGCGTCAGTCTAAACCGGCAAGGGGAGAAATGCGTCCAATGATTTTAATAGTCGATATTACCCGATGTATACTACTACGCTCGGTGTGGACATTCCCACATATACCGAAGATGGGGTTTAAACTGCCAAGACAATAGTCAGAGATCCCTGAATACCGCGCCAAGGCCAATTGAGATATCTCTGATCTACACGGTCCGCAGCAATATGCCAAGCCTTCACTCAAGGAGGCATGGTGTACCACATCTCCGTACTGGTACAAAGTAAGCCACTGCCTTCAGGTGCCATTTTAGATAGACTGAAGCTGCCAAGCCTCCTTTTCCTTCGCCAGTCGGGAAAATAACCAATCAACGTTACGTAGATCTACTTCCGGGGTCTCCTTGCACATCAGACCGACCCCATATCCAGTACGAGATAGATGGCTGTTCTACTACATGTATGTGGACGGAGGGTATGCACCGAGGCCAAGCAGGCAGTCGCCCCCGAAAAGGTTGCCAAGGGATAGTTACACCTTTACACATCACCCGAAATAGGTCGGATCCAGACATGTCGCACAACTATGGATTCACTTGGGGTCTGAATTATCAGGGTAGGATTAGAACTAGTGATACAATGTCGTCGATCGTTTCCCAGGCCCCCGGGATCCACCCCCCGCTTTGGAGAGGCCTCTATTTCCACAGCTTCGACACGGCCACCTCCTTGTCATCGTGCTTGTTCAGAATCTTGGCAGTGGCCAAGTCGAAGTCCTCTTGTGTGACATGAACCCGACGTTCGCGGAGTGCATACATGCCTGCCTCTGTGCAGACACCCTTGAGCTCGGCTCCAGAGCACCCGTTCATCTTTTCGGCAATCTTGGCCAGGTTGATTCCACGGGTCAGGTTCATCGACCGAGAGTGAATTCGCAAGATGTCGGCACGGGCTTCGACCCTAAAGAAGAGTTAAGTTAGCATCGTGCTCAAGGCCAAAGGAATGAAAAAGAGAAAAAAAAAAAAAGAACAAGCCATAAATAACTGGGGCGGAGTAGGGGCGAGGGGAGGGAAAGACTGACGATGGAGGGGGGAACTCGATCTTTCGATCAATTCGCCCAGGCCGAAGTAGGGCCGGGTCGAGAATATCCAGTCGATTTGTCGCCATGATAATCTTAATGTTCTTCGTTGGCTCGAAGCCGTCCAACTGATTCAACAACTCCAACATGGTACGTTGCACTTCCGAGTCACCGCCTCCTGATGAATCTATCCGACTTGATCCAATACTGTCAATCTCATCCATAAAGATGATACTTGGTGCGTGCTCTCGTGCCATGACGAAAAGCTCACGTACCATCCGACTACCCTCTCCGATGTATTTCTGCACCAGTTCTGAACCACTCACTCGGATGAATCGACAGTCGGTATGGTGAGCGGCTGCTCGAGCAAGCAGGGTCTTGCCGGTTCCAGGTGGGCCGTAGAGCAAGACACCCTTCGGCTGTGCGATACCCAGGGATTCGAAGAGCTCGGGGTGCTTGAGGCCAAGCTCGATCACTTCTTTGATTTCCTTGATTTGCTGGTCTAGGCCACCAATCATGTCGTAAGTGCTGTCGGGGACCTTCTCGACCATCATGAGCGCAACCAGAGGATCGACCGAGGACGGCAACATCTTCTCCAGCTTGTACGAGTCAGACAGTAGAGCAACCCGCTTGCCCACAACGAGTTTGCTAATGTCCACACCATCGGAGATATCCACCACTGCGATGAAAGAAAACCATACCGTTAGCATAAGCCCGGTCATTGAAAGCCAAGATAGAATGGACGAAGCCTACCGTATTTTCCTTCTGGGTGTACCTTCACCAAGACCTTCTTGGTGCTCATCACCTTCACCACCTCGCCAACGTAAGAGCCGGGTTGTTGCAACAAGCCAAGCTCTTCGCGCAGTAGACGGACTCTCGAGTTGTAGTCATTGCGCTGCGCTTCTAATCGTCGTAGAACAGCCTGGCCTTGGATAATCTCAAGCTTCATGCCCTCGATTTTGTTGCGATAGTAGTTGTCTAAAGCCATGATGGCGAATGGGATGATGACGCTATGGAGAGTCAAGGGCTGTCTGTCTTCCACAGAACACAGTTGCAGTGAAGAAAAAAAAGCCTTTATCTTTCTGCTCAGACGATGGTGTATTGAGAATTCGTCAGAGGAGGGGATGTAGCTCGGAAACAGAAACGGATAAGTTGAAGCTGGGGTTTGGCGAGCAGAGCAGTCCAGCTGTACGCGAAGCTCAGGCCCAGTGCCCCGTTCAGTTGTGCTGACTAAGAGATTAGTTAGTTAAGTTAACTAGTTAACAAAAAGGAATTCAATCCTGAAATATCAGGCTAATTATTTAAGACAAACCAGTCAAACATCCTGCTTTGTTTCCATGGATGAGACTTCGGGAGCTCCCCGCCCAATGAGTCAGCTGTGGATCTTATTGGGCGGTCAAGCCTTGGAGCTGCTTAGGTGGGCTGATGACCGGGTCATCTGCAAGAGAAGGCAACGGTCAAAGAGCCATTTCTCCCCTTCGGCATACTCTTTTCCACGAGTTTCGTCCTCCCTGATACTGCAATGACTTATATGCATCTCTAATGAAGCTTTCATTGACATTCTCGATTTCTGCGTTTCACCTAGATCTCTTTGGTTCAATAATGTCACTGGGAACTCCGGTCTTATCGCTTTGACTTTTTTCTGTCTCTTTCTCTGGGGATAACAAAGACAGCATAAAAGAGAGAAGAGACCCCGTGTCTTTTTGAATTTATCTCTCTTACTCGTTTCTTGTGCCTCCAAGGTTCACTGTGTGCTTGTCAAATCACTGGGTCATGGCTGGCGATAAAGGAAACCCTGGCTCTCCCGAGTCCACGCAGCCATCTGCGATGGCGGGAATGGAAACACCAACTCCTGAAGCTGTGCCTCCAATCAGATCCTCTGCCTCCGCGCGGAGAACATACGGTAAGCTTGCCTTTGGTGTAACCTACAACAATGACGGCTTGGGTTGATCCAAAATTGCAGGTACACTCGATCCATCCTCCTCCGAGGCGACCAATCCTGAACTAAATGATGATGGCCAAGACGAGAGTTTGACTCGCGCATTCACGACTCAATCTTCTACTGTCCCTGATAAGCCCCGAAAGCCCTCGGTATCGCGTCGCATGTCTTCCAAACGTCCAATCCCCCACAGAGGGCAAGGGTTCTCGACAGATGATGATGTCAATGAGGTCAAGCAATATATGACGATGAAGCAAGGCGCGAACCCGCAACAATCACCCAGGATTCGCCCACTACGAACGCAAAGCTCGACCTTGAGACGACGTCCCAGTGCTCGTCCCAGACCCTTGGCAAGAGCCGATTCGGAGGGTTACAACGCAGACGAAACGGCCTTACCTGAAGCAGGTCTGGATTATGAAGAAGAGTTTCCTTCGTTGAAACAAACCGGACATACCAGTGGAGGGGAGAGTGAGGACGGTGAGGAGGAGGGTGGAATAGAAGACGATGAAGACGCAGCCAGCGATGCTGAGAGCTTCACACTCAAAGACCGTCAACAGGCCATCAACCAAACACACCCGTTTGGTATCAGACTCTGGAAGCCTGCGTTGTACAAGAAAAGCCGTTCTGTAGAGAAAACGGCCGAGGGTGATATCCACTCTTCTCCAGGAGGCTATGTCAGTCCCATGCTTTTTTTGACCAATCTACTATGGTCTTTGTTTTTTGGATGGTGGCTTGCCCTTTTCGCTCTGTTAGCCGCAGTTGCTTGCTTTTTTTTTTCCTACTCATCCAGTGCTGTGGCATACGGAAGAGTATTTGCAGGTCTTTCACGATATCTGTTATACCCGTTCGGATCATATGTTCTTCTGGAGACCGAGGAGAATTATGCCGAGGAAGATGAAGGCGAGGGACGCAGTATCAGCGAATATGAACAATGGCAGAATGGCGACCTGGAACATGGCCGTCTTTTCTTCGGCCCTCGCAGAGATCGGTCCCTGGTCGGTAGACGAAGAAACAGCGTCGATTCAGCCGGTGAACAAGACAGCCTGCTCGGGCGACCCCAGCGTGGACAACGCGAAGAGTCCTCTCAGCTCGCTCAATCCAAGCGTCGCCTCTTTGGGCGGGGCGAATGGACCTTGGGTCGCGTCGTGTTCTTCGTGTTCTTCTACTTCCTAGTTGGTCCGCTGATGCTTATGGTATCGCTCGTCTGCTGGCTCTTGGTGTTTTGGATTCCCATGGGTCGTATAACGATTACACTCGTGAGCCATTTGCGCAGACATCCGCTAGCACTGTCCTTCCATTCCGATTCCAGATATGCTAGATCGAGCACAACCACATCTTCGTCTTCCATACTTCTTTGTACCTACAGAGCTGCTGGAACGAGGTACTGGAAGTACACTCTCGATGGAACGAACATCTTTTTGATCAATCTTCTTGGCGTGGTTGTGTTTGTGATTTTCGACTACCATGTTTTGGGCAAATTCTTAGGCTTGCAGAATTGGCTCACACATCCGGCCTTGATCTTCCCTCTCGCGTTGCTCTCCATTATTCCTCTGGCCTATTTCATTGGACAAGCCGTCGCCTCGATCTCCGCTCAATCTTCTATGGGCTTAGGTGCTGCCATCAATGCTTTCTTCTCAACTATCGTAGAAGTATATCTCTACTGTGTCGCTTTGACTGAGGGCAAGGCTCAGCTTGTCGAGGGAAGTATCATCGGCAGTATCTTTGTCGGCATTTTATTCCTCCCTGGTTTGTCCATGTGCTTTGGTGCACTCAAACGCAAGACCCAACGGTTCAATGTGAAATCAGCTGGTGTGACCTCGACGATGTTGTTGTTTGCGGTTATTGCTGCCTTTGGTCCCACCCTCTTCTATCAGGTTTATGGTAGTGTAAGTTTCACCTTCCTTTGCAAACGAACCTAAGTTGACTGGTGCATAGCATGAGCTGAACTGCCACTCGTGTGTAAGTTCCCTCGATCCAGAGACTCGAGATTGCAGGCGCTGCTATTTCTCACAAACAGCGGCTGTCGATGATCAATTCTTTCAAAAAGCGGTACAGCCATATGCATGGATCGCCGCTGTTTTCTTGTTCCTTTCATACGGCATCGGCCTATGGTTTACTCTTAGGACCCACGCTGCTCTTATCTGGGCATCAGAGATGGAAGAAAAAAAGAATTCCCATCCCCATGCCCATGCCCATGCCACCCAATCTGCCCAAGAATCATTCTACGAGCCACGGCACATGTTCCCAAATGGCCAGCCCGAAGCTTCTGGTGCCGCTTCTGGGTCCAAAGATTCGATCCGTGAATCTCAGCTGTATAAGCGAATCTTAGGCCAGTCATTGAAGCATCTTGGCTTGGAGGACAATGACTCTGGCAATTGGGAAGGGGCTGGAAGTGAAGCCGCAGACCTCAGGGGCAATTTCCCACACTTGGTGCCCCCCAATCCTAGCGGCGAGGACGGTTACCCTGTGCCAAAGTTTGTCCGTAATATGGCCCAAGAAGACAACGAGCGTCTAGTACGCCAGTTCACCGAAGTAGCAGCAACAGCAGCAACAGTGGCTGCTCGGGATACGGCTCGAAGTCGCAAGCCCAATGTACAACACCATCAAGCCTCTGTTCGTCAATCTAGCCGCCCTGCTCCGGAGCGATCACGAAATACACCTGGGGAAGAGCTTGAAGATCTCGGGTTGAGTGTGGAGCCCACTCATTCTAGCGGAGGACATGATGCACCTAATTGGAGCAAAGTTAAAAGCTCTGTCATTCTTCTTGGGGCAACTGTCCTCTATGCAGTGATTGCTGAAATTCTTGTCAACACGGTTGATGTTGTGCTAGAGAGCGTGGATATTGATGAGAAATTCCTCGGCATTACTCTTTTCGCGTTGGTGCCAAATACGACGGAGTTCCTAGTACGTTGGTCATTGAAGGCCCTATCTGAGGTGATTTTGCATTTGATATTCTTAGCTAACACACCTAACAGAACGCCATCTCATTTGCCATGAACGGAAACATTGCATTATCTATGGAAATTGGGTCTGCCTATGCACTACAGGTCTGTCTATTGCAGATTCCTGCTGTGGTATTCTTCAGCGCTTTCTATGGCCGCTCGCTAGACCCATCTGAGCTTGTCAGCCACTCATTCAAGTAAGATAGCTTTTTCGTTTTCTTTTCTTTTTTTTTTTTCATTATGTCTCCAATCGAAATGCTGTGGCTAACAAAATATTTCAACAGCCTAATATTCCCGCAGTGGGATATGATTACCGTTATTATGTGCGTCTTCCTTCTCTCGCATGTATACGGCGAAGGAAAGAGCAACTACTTTAAGGGATCCATCCTTGTACTCACCTACCTCGTCGTTGTGCTTGGCTTCCATATGTCAGGCTATGTGAATATGGACAGTATGGGCGTGGATCGCTTTGATACCCTAGCCATAGGCAGCACCAGTAGTTCCAACAAGTTCTACACTGTTGGCCGAACAAGAGGCGGGGTGGCCTACTAGACAAAGTGCACATATTGCATAGTGATAGTTGCTTTTCAGCACAAGGCATTCATTGGCTTGTCTGAATTAATGTTTTTTCGGGATTTTGTTTATATGCTTGACGTTTATATGGAGTGTGTGACTCATGTTCTTGACTTTCCTCATGACATAGGCTCTGTAGCTCGATGCATTGGGCATGATTTTGCAATAATTATGTTATGATTTCGAAATTGTCATACTTTTTAGTATGCGGTAATGACTGATGTCAAGTATACCCGATTTGTAAATCGTGAACTAACACTCCAGTATCCATATCTTCTCGTTTTTGTGATTGAAAAGAGAGTAACCGACGTGATCGTGATATCAAATTAGGTGGACTTGGACTTCCAGGCCCCCACGGCGTCATCCACCATCCCACGGTATTTTCGTTGTTTCCAGCACTGTTCTAGAAAGACCTCATACTTCACGCCGAGCAAGGCTTTCTCGTTCTTATCCTCTGTCGGCAACACCTGCTTGCAACGCTTACTCATCCGATTCATGATATCCCACAGATCAAGGGTTCTGCCCTGGGAATCAGCGCTGGCGGCCTTGGCGCCGAGCATAGCAGCGCCGTGGCATACCGCAGCATGGATGTACTCGGGAATCAGCACAGGCATATCGCAGGCAGATGCGATGAGGTTGACCAGGATGTCATTCTGGCATTGTGAGCCCGACATGAACACAGAGGTGATGTGGTGACCTGCCTTGTTCATTGTTTCTACAATCTGCTTAGTTTGCAGCGCAATGAACTCCATGGTGGCGTAGTAGTAAATGGCAAGGCCATCCACAGATTTATCACTGGTTAGGCCAAAGACGGATCCAGTCATGTTAGGATCGCCAAGGGGAGATCTGTTTCCCCATAGGTCACCTAAACCCCAATTCATCAACGAAATCAGCCAGAACCTAAACAATGCTAACAATGAAGACAGACGCACCATAGAAGAAGAAGTGGCGTCCAAGATAGGATACACATGGGGCTCCTCGGGCTTGTGCCATCTCCTTGAGATGCTTATCCAGGTAGTCGTAGATGTTGGCATGGGATGACTCGGCAATCGAAATAGCCTGGTTGAATGCCGGGTGAGTCTCAATTACATGCTTGAGCAATTCTCCTGTGGCAGATTGGCCACCCTCAGCCATCCAGTATCCGGGAAGAATGGTATCCCGATATGGTCCCCAGACACCATCAACAAAAACCGGGTCTGGTGACATGGCAAGGTGACATGTTGAGGTTCCCGCGACAGCTGCGAGGCGAGAGAAGGCCTCCGATATATCAAGTTTAGGGACATCTGCGCTAGATTGGCCTGGGTGCATGTCGAATTTGGATCCGACGGTACCGATCCAGCCAGCGTAGGCGTCGATCACACTACTGCCAATGGCAATACCAGCCGGCAGGCCTAATTCGGCTGCAGCCCTATCGCAGAGAGTGCCAACCAATTCACCGGCACTTAAATAATCACCATTCTGTGTGGCACCAAAAGTCAGTAAACTGCGCCATCGTCATTTAGGGAAAGGCTCACCACCCCGTCAACTCCGCCCATACGCTTGAAATTATCTTCGGTCAAGTCACCCAGGCCAATGTCCTGCAAGAAATCTTCTTGCCATCCCTTGACACTCCCATCGACACCAACAGGCACGTATCCCTGCTTGCAGACTACGCTGCAGAAGCTTCGCTTCTCATTGCCCGTAGCAATGTGTGTAAGAGCATCTCCCAGATCATAGAACTTGCATCTGCCAAAGAGCTCCTTAGGCATGTGGTTTTTGAGCCAAAGAACCTTGGGAATCTCCATTTCAATAGACATCTTTCCGCCCACATAGCGGAGTAGGTTGTGGTTGGTAGCATTGATCTTCGCGGCTTCCTCAACTGGGCGATGATCCAGCCACAAGATCACGTTGCGGTCCGAGTCGAAATTGGGGCCCGTTACAGAGATCGGCTCGTCGGTATCATTGGAGAAAACCGACAAGGAGCAGGTAGCGTCAAACCCGATACCCCGAACCGTGTCAGGATTGATATTGTGCTGGCTAATAACGCGCTGAACAGCGACACAAATGCAACGCCAGATATCGGAGGTAGATTGTTCCTAGAGGCTAGGTAAGACTGATTTGGCACTCAAATTCCTTGGAGTTGCACTCACATAGAAACCGTGCTCTGGTTGCCAAAGACCGATATTCTCTGAGGCCAACCCCACAATATCACCTTTGTCGTCGATGATACAGGCACGGGCACTGCCAGTTCCGACATCAATGCCAATATAGTGGTCGACATGAACTGCCAGATCCTCCCGAGGGTCATTGGATGCCTTCCGCGAGGCCATGTTACCGTAGTAGCTCTTCCCTTTCGAGTTGACAGCTATGGAGCTATAGATTGCTACTAACCATGGATTAGCGAGTCGCAAAACACGGAATATAGACTGGTCGAAGCAGACTTACTGTTTATATCTGTGGATATTGAATTAAGAGAATTGAAGGTGAACTGTGAGGAGAAGAACTTACGACCACATTAATTTGCCGCCCTGACGGAACAGTACTAGCCGGTACCTGCACTTTCGGGGCACTCTACCAATACTTGAATGTCCCGCTATTTTATACGGTGATTGATGTACTCTTCATGTACCATATAAGTAGGTAAGTGTAAAATTATGATATTTACCTATTTTATGTTATGTTTTTACAAGAACATTTACGTGTATACATATCGTATATATATATTTTATTAGTCATTGAATTTCGAATATGTATATAGCAAGGATCGTAAGGGATTCATCTGTATGACTAGTTATGTATAGTCATGTATAGTTATGTACAGCTTATGTACAGCTTATGTACTCGTGGGGTTGGAGCTCGGACTTTCTTCTCCAAACCGTTGACATCTCAGGTTGTCTCCTCACTATAATTCACTTCTTCGCCATGAGGTTCCTATCCACCATCTTTAGCGCTGTGTTACTCCTAATTTCTGTCGCCAATGCCTCCTTCTCGACCGACATCCTGTATTGGCCCTTAGAGTCGCCACAACCGTCCGTCCTCGCGAGCATCTCCTACGACCCAACCTCATTGAAATCGGACGTGGTCTCATATCACCCCCCAAAAGATGACCAGCGCGATAATCTCGTGCGTGTTGGTCTCTACACTTCAACCTCCCCAAACAAAAAGCAATGGGTTGGCAGTCTCGTGTCGTTGTCCTCTTTAACGGCCAGTGAGCAACCAACGTTTCGTCTTCATCTCGGCCCAACCAACGAAGTCTACACTGTCTCCCTGTCTGCATCTACTAGCGCTCAGGGCTCAACATCGAGTCCTCAAATTGAACTTGTCTCGAACGAATCCGGGACGCAGCCTCACCTGAACAGGCCAGTGATTGTTGGGCCCGATGGCCAAAACCCAGAGCAACCTGAAGAAAAGTCTATTTTGCAGAAGTAGGTTACAGATACTTCTATCGTTGCTTTCGTGCGCTAATCAATAAACTAGGTACTGGTGGGTTATTCCAATCCTCATGTTCCTCAGCATGTCCGCGGGCGGTGGCGGAGAAGGACAGTGAGCTTCGGTCTTTCATCATATTACCTATATTGAAATAATAACTGGATGGAACTATGCTTTGTGGGCCGTTATTCTTTTGAACAGGCCAGCCTGCTATTTGCGAAGACACAATTTCAACTAGAAGTCCATCCAAGTCATAGACTTATCTGGCTACATGTCTTGCGAAGGCCAGTTTCGGCTGAAATCTTAAGCCAATCATAAAGATTCGTGTATTCTTGTATATTACACCCCGTAGTTGGACCTGCAGGGGGCCTGTGTACTAGTATATATATACAAGGCGGAGAGAAACGACAAAATATCATATTTCAGAAGTATGACGGGTAAACAGCTGAAACCGCTAGTGATACCTTGAATTCTCGACCTTTTTGTCTTCCAAGGGTTTCTGTCTTTATCTTTCCTGTCTTTCCTCATTTCATCATTTTCTCCCCTTCTGCCTGTTCCATACCTGGCGCTGCTACCTAGACCCACGAGGCAACAAAAAGTCTGTGCACCGTGCCTTGACAGAAGCTCTATAAGTATATGCTAAACCCTCATGTTAGACCTAGGGCAATATTATACCTCAAATATGCTGCTCCAACTTCCCACAGAGTTGGTACAACTGGTTCTTCGGAGCTGCAACACACCAGCCTACTTCCAGGCAGCCTTTTCAAGCCGCAGGCTTTATGAGATTGCTTCCAGCAGCCGAGAAGTCATCATTCATCAGCTGCATAATACTCCTGGTTGGAACGATGGGATTGAAGCTTATCAGACTAGGCATCTGTTTGATGAGTTAATGAGGCGCTCGTATGAACAGTTAGATGGGGCAGAGCATTACGCCAACCCCACCTATGAGTATCAAAATCGAGTGATTGACTACCATGCATCGACAATTGAGGCATCAGAAGACAGCATTCGAGTACTACTTGTCTTTAAAGGGCATAGCACCGTCCATCTGATTGACATGAGCGATGGGGATCGGACCGAAGTCAAATTGAAATCCCCAGGACAGGATCTTGGGGAGGTTGAAATCCTCCAGACTGCCTTTGGTGAAAACGGTGGAGTCTACGTCCTTCACCGATTCAGACCATTCTTAGACCAAGAGCTGGATACAGACCACCCATTTGTTAAACACGCCCTCAAGTCTTGCCCCAACGGGAGTATTCACCTGGCCAACCATCGCTTGAATTCCAGGGCAAACACCATTCGATTGTATGACTTTCCCGAATGCCGAGATTATAAGCCACTGGCTTTGTCCGTCTCCAACGACAAATTTGCAATATCATGGCAAAACACGCTCGACCCCTTTGATCATGACGTGGTTCTTTATACCGAAATCTACGACGATGACGATGACGATGACGACGAAGATGAAGACGATTCTAGCGAAGGCATCACAGAAGGAAGTAAGGGAGACAATCCCTGTAAAATCACTTGTTCGTTTCGTCATTCTGTCATATTAGAACTGGTTTCTGACATCTCTAGATGCTGGTTTTGAGGCTTACGTTCTGACAAGCTCCAACGATCAAGACCCACATGTCCGTTCTTCGCGGGGACTAGGGCCCGTAATGAAATTGGCTTTCAATGATCGAGGCTTTCAGTTGCTCTACCACTACCGAGCTCAAAACATATACGGTGCCTTTCAGAGACTTGATCGCATCCCTGCCCCCCCAGGCGAGCCAAAGCCGCATGTTAGTAAGAATGCATGCACCGTGCAGTTTTCGTCTTCCCTCTCGCTTCAATTCTCAATTGGAATACCATTCTTCGGTACTCATGAGCTCGGCGATATAAACCGGGGGGAACACTGTCATTGGCAGTACCTTGCCTTCGGCATTGCCACCCACCGCGTTGAAAAATGGACTGCGGCATGTCTACTCAAGTCTGAATCATACACTGGTCCGCGGTGTACCCATGTTTTGAATCTTGACCGCGGAAGGCGCTTTGAAAATTGGCAGATTGTGGCGCAGCTTGGGGGATTCCGGGAAGTAACAACTTCGCATGGATCTCCGGTAGCAACTTCGCGTCGCGGAACTCGTGTTGCTGTCGCTAACTGGAAAACCCTCTATGTCTGGGCATTGAATCCGTCGGAATTGATTGAAGAGAACAGCACCGGCTTTTATCCATCATCGTGGGAATCGTCTACAGGTGCCATCGACTTGCGACCAGTTGTCCTTCATTTAGAGGCCGTTTGCTCTCAATTGCGGTTCACTGAAAATGAGGACGAGCTGGTTGCGATTACTGATCGCGGAGTGATGTTCCTGAATATCGGTTATAGTGGAAAAGGCAAGCGGCCCGTCAAACGCTAGGGGCATTACAATAGTACATAAACAACTCCGACAAAGAGCTTGATAAACTTCTGTTGCCCAGGATATGAAAGTCAGGCTGTTGAACTGTGGTTATAAGCCCTCTTCAAAGCAGTGGATTGTAACCGAAATAGCGCAATTCTTGAATATCATCAGACTAGGACGCTACCATTGTCTCTTATGCGCAATAAGACCCAAGAAAATTAGCTGTGTCCATTTTCCCCCCTGTCCCAAAGCAATCCCAAACACCAGAAAATGCAGAACCACTAGCTGTATGACATTGTACATAGATCAAAAGAAAACCATGGCCCTGGTAATAATGCAAGGCCAGAAAGGGGTATCCCAGGGTCGTCATCATAGCAAGAGAAAAGAAGAAGAAGAAGAAGAAGAAGAAGAAGAAGAAGAAGAAGAAGAAGAAGAAGAAAAGTCCAAGGACTTGTTCTAGTCCATCTCAGAAGCGAGCCATTCAAGCACGCTTTCATAGCAGAGTGCATATTGACTCAGGTTTTGCACCATGCTCGGTCTTTGTCTCCGGAAATCCTCAACCGTCTTTGCAATTAGGTCAAGAGTGAAATCCCCCATCCACTCGGAAGATCCGCTAGGATTTTGATCCAGGCCTCCACCACCAGCAGCCTGCGCACGTTGTCGTTTCAACATGTCCAAGACACTATCGACAGTACAAAAGGTCCCCGTACGCCCGCACCCCGCACTGCAATGCACTAGTACCGGCCGCTGACCCTTTGGTTCCGCTTGCTCACTACTAAAGCTGGGGTTGCTAGTGGCACGAATGACCTTGTTACATTGCTCAATGAGGCGGAGAAGATGGGTAGGCTGTGACGTTGTTCCGAAATCGGGCCAATAAGGATATTGGAGCTGGGTGATATCTCGAAGCGGCTCAAAAGGGAATGACGTATGGCAGATACTGAAGTTTCGCACGGTGATCACTGGATTTTCGTTTGTGCCATCAGGCCGTTCGGTCGACGGCATGGGACTGCCAACTCTGGGTTCGATGTAGATATGTTTTTCCGAATAGGCCTTTACCTCAAATGGTCCATATTTTCCAGACTCCCAGTATCGATGGCATTTCACCTGTCCTCGCTCAACCTCTGCAGTGAGGGAAACGAGAACTCTAACATCTTGCTCCCACACCACGCGCCAAAAGTCCTGGATATTGTGAGCAATATGATAACAAGCATTGTGAGGAACTGCTACTCACATCAAATGTATCAGGAACGGGAGCCTGAGTGGCGATATATTTCCGATTGGTAAGTTCAGCAGAAATATGGTTCGCATTCACATAATCACAGGCACCAGCTGGAATTCCCTCGAGCCGGACACGAGAATGATCAAATGGGTAAATATCATTGTAACGATTCTTCGTGCCTTTCTCTATTCCCGCGACGCGATATTTCTTGGGGCTACCATTGGTGTCACCTGAAGGTCCTTCATATGTTAAAGCCTGTTTCATGCGTTCCAGTTCCGTTTTCTCCAAAACCAAGAATTTGTTCGAAACAATGTGCCCTTGGTCCTTAGTATCGGAAGCGCCCCGCAACCAGGAAGGGAGTTGCTGTCGCTTTGCTTCGGTCAATTGATCGGGCTGCTTCAGAGGAATTTGTCCGACACCTCCAAGGAGGTCCATGTTCTGTCGAATATTTCCAAAGAATGGATTGACGGCAGAGGATGATTCTGGTAGGGCGCAACCACCCACGACAGGAGCAACAGATTGCAGGTTGATTCTCATGGGAGAGGGGCGTTTAGAGGATGATCCAGTCGTCTGTGTCTGTGGCTGCTGAATCAAATGTGGAAACCGACCCGAGAAACCTCGAAACCCGTTTTGTAAGATCAACCCATCTCCTTTCCAGCCTTCAGCCTGAAATTTATTGAGAAGGTTCAGAAGAGGTGCTGCGTCCTTCAACTCCGCTGCGGCAGAATCGTAGATAATGATCACGTCACACTTTCTCCAACGAGCGAAATTCTGTTTATCGGCGTCGTCTGTGAAAATTCCCTCTAATTTCTGGGTATCAAATGATCGACGCTTGAGTAGGGTAGTGGGAATGCATAAATTGAGTGATCCTTTGATATTGGCCTGTCTGAAGTGAGCAAATGGGCGAACATCAAATAACATAGTATTTGACTGAGATGATTCAAGACGTTCGGCGCAGCGTTCGGCTGATACCCAAGGAAATGAAGCGGGAGTGAATCCTAAACAAGCAGTGTTAGGTCTTGTATAATTTGTAAAAGATAGGCAGTGGAACACATCAGGAAGTTATAGGGCCAAAAACAAACAAAAAAAAAAAACCAAAAGCAAATCTAAGACTTTTCATACCTTGTGGAGTAGGCGCTAAGTTTTTGCCGGCTGGAAGCCTCAGTTCACTGGGTTGTGCGAATGAGAAATTTCCCAACGGATGTGAAGATGAGGACTTTGACCACGAAGTCGTCTGGGGAGAAGAAGATCCATGCAATGCTGATTCTCGGCGTATGCGGCTAGTTTCAGGCTCGGTCTTCAATAGATTCTTCAATCCCGCTGATACTGATTCTTGAGAAAACACTGGTAATTGCGGACTCGGCAGAGGTTGCGTATGGGGTAATGTGCCCCAGTTATTTTGCATGGACAGCCCTGGGTTGGAAGTCTGTTGATTGTTGGGGTTTTGCACAGCCATACCAAAATAGTTAGGACTTGATTTTTCTGTAAAAGCCGTGCTCGACATCATGCCCGTGGTTGGTGGGGACATGGTAGACTGGATAGACTGTGCGACACCACCATCATGATGACCACCTTGTGCACTTTGTACCCATGGCGAGGAGGGTGAGCGTCCAGGGCCTGTCATGGCAGGCAGCTTAGCTTCCACGACTCCAGTTTCTGGTCCGAGGAAACACAGTCAGCTCAAAACTCTCTGACAATGACACCCGTAGTTGCGTATCAGAAAATTGCAAGCGGCTGCTCAAGGGTGAGACTGACAAGTGCTCCCAAGCTCTCGGACCAAGATATCAGGGCCTTTGAAGACCTAGGAACGAAGAGAATCGCTGGTCATAAATGGCATCCAATACACAAAGTTGAAACCGATGTTGTTCCTCAAATAGAAAGTGAAGGGAAGCGTACGCAAAACTTCAGATGGAAGAACCTCACGATATACGCAACTGACGTAGCGAGAGACAAAGAGGGGCAATAAGAAGCGAATAGACCAGGGTCCAGCCAAAGAAGAAAATCGGTGGCCAATGGAACGAAAAATGCCAAATAGTGGGGGATGAACAGGTCTGATATCAGAGAGAGAATCTGTGTTATTGCATGATTAATAATCGCCTGGAACTAGCCCTGAGTTGAGAGGAAATGGGTGAAGAAGAAATTTGGGGGCTTCGAGAAGAAAAGTTATGACGTTATTGTGTGGGGGATCACGGGTTCACCTTCAGTCCTGACGTAGTTGTATGTTTTTTTTTGTAGGTCGCTTTTATTTCACTATATATAGTACATATATTCCCGATAAACGAATAGTTAAATAGTGATTGCTGTATACATAGATATATATAGAGGTAGCTCACACTACAGAGATAATTGGGAGCCCGGTAGTAGCTATATCTGGCCGAGTAAGTCTCCTTTCATTATAGATCAATATATACTTTGTATATCGGTGTATTCATAAACTGAATTATGTTGAATCAATATTAACAATGACCTCATCCCAGTTCCCGGTTAGTTGCAAGGCTCCAAGGGACCAACCAACCGTGGAGTGGTCCCACCCATGCAGGTTTCACCTCCATACAGAAAAGGGTGAGGCAACAGACTGGAGAGGGGCGGAAATATATATTTCCCCGAATTCCACAGTCAATGGCCTAGTATATAGGATCCAGGAAGCATAGACATTGTATGTTGTATACAACTTCCGAGAGGCTGAGAAAGTGAGCGAGACCAATTCCAATGGCTACCTAAGTAGGGATATTGGAGCATAGCATACGTCGTACGCGAAGGCCAGCCAGATAATTGAGTGGCTGCACCCCCTGAGCTCCTCCTTCATCTCCACACAGCAATGTACGGCAACGTACACCTAGCGATGAGGCTTGAGCTCATGCGCCAGGTGAGGTCACGAGGAAAACGTGTTTTCCGCGCCTTCGAGGATGCACTCGGATATTTAAATTCAAAGTGTTACAGCCTTCCATCCGGTTCACCTTTGAATCGCTGTACTCGCTTCTGCTCCCATTGATCGAGATCTTTGGCCATGAGTCTCTGTAAGCGTATACAATAATCAGCATTCAGTCCAAATGTCAGACAAGAAAGTCAGGATTAATTAAACAATAAAACAATACATACGTAGTATTCTTCCTTTTCGTCGCCTATAATCCTCCTCCGTGGGTTGCGTTTGATTCCCTCTTCCCCGTCAGGACCCTTAAGTCCGAGATCAAATGCTTCGTCTTGACTGAGCTGCTTGACTTTGCGGTCATACCGCTCGTACCGTAGGGCAGCAGCAGGCGTCAAGGCAAATGACCCGGCTACAATAACGGCCATGAATGGAAGTCCGAAGAGAATGAAAGGGTGTCGAGCCAGTCGCGCCCGGTAGAACGCACCGAGCCGTTCGCCGAGGGACGATGATTCCGTAGCTGCCCGACGAAAGGTTTTGGATTGGAACACAGGCATATTTCCGAATCAATCTATGGATCACTATTATCGAGTGGAGGACTGAATGGGAGTTTTATTGGGTTCAATGGGTTCAATGGTTCCGGTCATTGAGAAATAAAGGAACAATAGGATTTCGGTCAATCGGTCAATCGATGATCCGGGATACAATTGTTTAGACCGAGCTTCCTAAACAGCCTCTTCAATTGCCTATTGACAATCTATTGACTCTTAATTGCGGGGCTATTTTTTATCCATATAAAAGCAGAGCTCTGCTGAAGCTCTGTTCCTTACTATCAGAAGTCCGAGAAAATCCACTACTTATCGTGGTAATTCTTTACTGTTACGAAGCCCTAGGTATGCAGTTTTCTTGCCCTTTGATCAGCATCATTTTGCT